ATGGTGTTGTAGTCAAAGTCAAATCTTTTGAGGATGCATTCTGGGATATGTTGGGCCACGAAGTCTACACCACCACGTCCTTAAAATTCAGGGAAATGAAGGACACATTTGAGGGCCGCATTTCGAGCAGCCTTCGAATTGGGCCAGCCTTCGTTGCGTTGCTGTGACGTAATCGGCCTTAAAATGCGGCCTTTAAGGCTGCAGACCCTGAATTGGGATACAGCCAGTGACTTTGAGAGAACATCTGACAGCGTCAGCTCTGCATCACTTCTATCTCTGCCATGACTGCCAGCCATATTTTCGTTTTCAACTGCTGGGTGTCTCTTTGGGTGGTGAGAAGCATAACTATACTGCTTTCAAGTTTGATTGAAAAACATTCATAAAATACACATAAATTGTGTTGAGAGTACTTTGTAGCAGTACTTCAGTACAAAGCTTTGATGAATCCCTTTGCTTTGGTTCTCTGTCTTATTGAACTGGTGAACTCTCCTCAGTCTCCATCCTCTGGAGTAGTGACTTGTATGTATTTGGTTGCATTCCACACTAGTTTCTCTGTCCCTGCTTGTGGAAGCCCACAACACTGTTTTATTGCAGATAAAACAGTGTTGTGGGCTCTGTTCCACTGTGGAGGTAACGGGAAAGGGTAGGTATATTTGTATCCTCCGCTCTCAGGACAAAGATGAATGGATGGATGAACACACCAATTATTGTGTAATTATTTATTATTATTTTGCATACCAAAATTTACATCAAAAATCTAAAAATTAAATGTAATAAAATAATACATCAAAATATATATTGATTGAAATTCAGCTACACATCATGAAATCATTTGATTTTGTCCCATGATTAATTCCATGGTTTTGACATGGTTCCATTCATAACACTGACCACAACTGTCTGTTTAATATCTGTAAAAATCTTAAAATTTGGCAAAACCACTTCTATAACAGGCTGGCATTTCTAAATCTATGCATAGTATTTTCTTGTGAGTCTTTCCCCCTCTCCATAAATTTATGCTGAGACTTGTGATTTGTATAGTATTACAATAAAGGCAAAACCAACAATGACGAGAGCAATCAAAATACAGCTCCTCTTTATGTTTGAACTCTTGCCAGGTTGCGGAGCATCCTCGTGAATTTTCACTTCTGATTTCTTTATGTATTCATCCATTATCCTTTCCTTTGGTTCATCCTTTT